TCATTATTCGGCAACTGGTATTCAGGGTTTTGATCTGAGGTATCTGATGTTTGCCATTCTGGAAATTCTACCATGAACGGAATGTCAACGTTATCTGCTGTGCGATATGTTGGATCAGTGGCAGAACTGCGTTTGAGGGTCCCTGACTGATAAAAATCCAGATTTCTATGAATGTCCTCATGTCCGGCGAGGCGGGCAATATTGGCGACATCTTCATGCAATCGGCTAGCGGTCTTTTCTCCATCTTGATGCCCGGAGTGTTGAGTAATCACCTGAGAGGGGGGATTGTCAGCGCCTAAGAACGAATGCGGCGTGTTTTCTGCGTGGTTTGCAATAGAATGCGAGCGATCGCCATCGCAAAGAGCTGCAAGTAGATCTGGGCGGGACTGCAGAAATTCCAGCCACCTTCCAAAGTTTTGTGCTCGCCTTCGTCTGCTATGATTGACATCGATCGGATTCCCACCGCGAGAGAGGATCTTACGCGAGCGCATGGTGTCTTCAAAATATTGATTCAAACTGTGCGATCGTCCAGTTGTAAGCAAACTGAGATGCATTTGACAGGAGAAGGGCTTGGTGGAATCAGGATCAGCACAGCGCACCAGTCTGGCGCAGTGCAGTTACAATTATTTCATTCGAGAGAGCATGACTTGTTCGTTTTCAGCCAATTCAACTACTAACAGGCCTGCATCGGTGGATGTAGTTGATTCTCGGGTCTGATTGGAGGCGTATTTTGTTCTTAAACATGGCAGTACTGTACAATCGTCACACACGTGCAGGTCCTTGAAGCCGTTTTGATGCGCGAGGACGTTGAGCTGTGGGAGACCACACCGGCCTGCGGGTATACCATGTCATGGTGAAGGGGGAGATGAGAAGAAGCGTGTGAGAAAGGGGGTGGAGGGGGAGAGGTAGGAAGAAGGGTTTGCGAATTTGGAGTGGGATGACGGCGGGATCGGGAAATAGTCAACTTGGGACGGGAGAGTGCGGCAATGTTCAAGTGCGGCAATGTTCGAGTGCGGCAATGTTCGAGTGCCGAATGGAAAGATATTATTGAAATTTTATTGGCCATGCCCGAAATGTGCAATGCAGCCAATCGCCGCGCAGGACTAGAACAATGCCAGCAAGGTTGGTGACGACGTGACATTCCCCCCTCGCCCCACTTGTCGATCCACCACAGCTTGATCCTCTTCCTCCAATCACTCCCCGCCGAACATCGTCCGTCCCTTTCCCCATGACCTATCTCAGCATCAAGCTGCTTCTCTGTCGCATGCTGTCCACACCCAGAGTTTTCACAATCACTGTCGTCAGAGTTTTCCATCATTAATTCGCTGGAGTGCCGGCTGTATCCCAAAGGATGGACGCAAATAACCACGAATTCAGTCAAATTCGTTCGACACACGTACGCAAAGGAACTCGAGGAACAATCCGTCCGGCTGCGAAGGTTAGAGGAAATCCACTATGTAACCCGAACATTTTGGGAGCTCAAAAAGATAGTTCTCATTAGTCCAACCTGAGTCGTTTGCAACGGGCCCATACATACAGAGGCAGAACGACAATGGCAGGTGTCCGCCAAGAGCGAGATGGCGTGCGACATAAGACTGGGGACTGCACCAAAAAGCAGATAATGTCAAAATCCAAACCCTCGTCAACACAACCTGTGATCGC